TATATATATATATATATATATATATATATATATATATATAATAGCAATTTTTAATAAATTATATATATTATTTTATAAAACATATTTATTTATTTATACATAATTTTAAAATGATTTGGAGTAAAAAAAATAATATTTTGATATGAAACTTTTTAATAAAAATTTATTTTTTGATTAATTTATTATTATTTTAAAATTGTTTAGAGCTTATATATAATTATATATAATTATAATATATAATATATATTATTATATATATATTATTATTTAATTTGCTATTTATTATTTATTAATTTATTTACTTATTTTTTTATTATTTGAAACAAAAAAAGTAACATTTTAATAAGGAGCTCTATTATTATTATTAATATTCCTTTTATTAATATTCCTAACCCTTTTAATTGATTTATTTATTATACATTTTTGAGTTATTTTGAACCAAAAAGTGTGCCGATATTAGTTTTCTATTTTTTTCCTCAAGCACTCAGTTTGAAAGTTTATCCATTGATATTGTTTCATTGTATCATTACATTAAATATATAAGAACATTAAAGGTTCACAAAATCCTCGAGTACTTTTTTTGAGATTTTAATAGATTTTTGTGAGTTGTGCATCAGTTAAGACAATGTTAGCACCTGTCAGCTTTAATTGTGGGGAAAGCTGGATAATTTTGAGCTTTTGTCAACTAATTTCAGCTTCCTGTTTTAAAATGATTTTTGGGGCGCTATCAAAATCGGTGACGTAGCGCAGAACTGCAAGTGCAAAGATGATGGGTCGGTTTCTCATTATTATCTCATAGCGGAGTTTTCTTATCCTATGAGAAGAGTCGGCTTCTTGATTATTCATGACTGCACATGCTTTACGAAGGAAAGACAGACCTGCCAGTGCCAAGCTGTAAGACACGTTGATGACTGGGTGAGAACGCGTCCACGGACCCACGGCACACAGTATTTAGCTGTTTATGAAGGGTCTTATGTAATTGTTTCCATGATCCACGAAGTTTGTTAAATGTTTTTCCTCGTGATGCTGTCAGGGCCGATACAGCAAAGCTGTTTGTGTGCAGCAAGCATTTTTGTTGAGAGAGTAGTACAAGAATTGGAGAATGGCGGACGTTGTCTTTTATCAGGAGTTCGTTATGGTTCGGCTAATGGTTAAAATAGACAGGGCAAGAGAGCTGCTGCACCGAGTCTGCATTCAGACCCAGGGATTGAGGGAGAAGTCCTCATTTATAGTGTTTATATAAACACGATTGTCTTTATAATGATATAAATTGTGGTTATCTGTATATGAACTTACAAATACCAAATGTAGCAGGGGATTAAATAATTAAATAAGTAATTAAATTACTGATATCTTATTTGCAATTAACCTTTGTAAACTATAAAATTATGGGTCTCCTCACGGTTTGTGTCTCATTTTTGTGTTGTCTCATTAACTGACAACAGTTCTCCCCTGCTCTGCTGGCCACGCCCACTCCTGCCTTTTGCTCATGGAGCTCCACACCCATTATGATGCATCTTTTGAAAAAATTCAAAGGGTAGACCTGAACCGAAAGTGAGGGCCCTTTAAAACATGCATGAGAAATATTAATTGAATTAACTTCCTTAGAATTTGCAAAACAGCATATCCATTCAACATTACTATAAAAAATAAGATAAAACAGCATAAACGTTATCACTATGTATTCATATTTGCTTTGTTTTTGTTTTTTTTTGTCTACATAATTAGGTCACAAAAGTTGTTGAGATGTTTAATTTTAGTCTATTCATTTCACAAGGGACAGTGTACATTAGCCGACATTACTCGAGAATGCAAATGTACCCACAATAGCCCCAAACCTAGTTTGCATTGCTTGCCCTTGTGGCAGATGTTGTAGGCCTATAAACCAATATGAATAAGAGCAACAAATGTTTTGCAAAATGTTTGACATTAATAAAACGCAACAGTTTCTTTAAAAAAAAAGTGTATTTTCAACATCTAAAGATACTCTACATACATAAATCTAGTTTTCATGAGTGAACCATTTTCAAAGTTGTATTCCTGTACTAAAAGCTACACATTCTTCCCCTACATTTCAGTTTATCCTTTCCGGGTCAAAATGGATCCGCATGCATTTCAGGTGCCTGAACATGATATATTGACCCAATATGTGTTTTGATTATATAATAGAGAGGCTTTTCAAAGGGCTTATATTTATATATATCATCTCCCACGCTTGTTATCGCAACAGGTTCAGAGAGAATCGATGAGCTCATAATGATCAGAAGACTTTGAGCTTCACAGGTAGCAATTCTCTCTTGGAGCATAAATAGATTGCAAGTTTATGAGTCTACTTTTTCGCTCTAGGCATGAATTTCCCCCTTTTTTCCCTCTCTCTTACTTTTCCCCGACTCGAATTTTCCTGGAGGAATTTGACTGACCTAGTTAGCAGAGTCTCGTGCACCTTAAGAATCTTATAAAGGATATTTACGCCACCGTATTTAGATTCAGCATGATATGATTAAGTAATGAGGAGATGAATTATTAGGGTGTGAAGGAGGAAGCCTGATGCATCATTTAGGGAGTTTTATGCAGAGATGAGAATTGGCGCGTTTTGAGCTTGTTTAACTGTAGCTTGATTTATCGAGTGCTTTATGTAATGGGTAATTCAATAACGGGTCCGGTTCTGATTTGTTGTGGACTTTTCTGCGTAGAGTTTATTTGATGATGGCGCCTCTTATGCTTGAAAAATACAATCATTTCACAATCTTTTTCTTTTATTATTCAAATTCGCTGGCATGTAATCTGTTCAGTTTATGAATCTATGTGATTTTCTTATCAGACGTTGACATGCTTGGGGCATCCTGTAGTGCATTTACAGTAAATGACTTTATACCATGCCTGACAACACTTCCATTTTTACCGCAAGTCTTCTGTATTTCACACCCATCTCCCGCCATGTTTGCTTTTTTTTCCCAGGAAACTCCAGTAATTTGTATGTCGCAATCTATGAAATATCACTTTTTTCATGTTTGTCAAGTTGCCAGATCTTGTATAAAGCTCATCACGTCACACAATGGACAAAATTTTTAAAAATAAATAAACCTTTTTAACCTCAATCTGGCAACATGCTACAACTCAGTTGACCCTGTTAACACATTTATTCCTCAAACTGGCAACTACAACTTAATCGACCCCCTTCACCCCCTCTCCCAATTTCTACCTCGATCGAGCAACATGCATTACAACCCAATTGACCCTCCCCAACATTTGTTTCTCAGTCTGGCAACATAGGCTTAACCCCCCCTCCAATGAAATTTTTTTGTAATCTTAATCTGGCAACATATGTTACAATCCAATTTCCCACCCATTTAAAAAAAAAAAATTTTAACCTCAATTAAGCAAATTACGTTACACTTTCCACCCCTTACACCTCTAACTTCAACCTCAATCTGGCAACAAGCATAACAACTATAGAAAATACTGTGGACATTTCTTTGTGCTTTAAAAATCACTTGGGAAATGTTTAAAAAAGAAATAGAAAACAAACCATAGGAAGGCTAATATGTTTGTCTCAACTGTATAAGCATTAGCAGCCCATATATTTTCTACAGCAGTTTTCAAAAAAAAAAAAAAAAAAAACATCTAGGTGCACTTTTGCACCTTTGCTTTTAAATTGAATTAAATTCAATTGAATTGAATTTTGAAGCAAATTAAATTGAAAAATAATGAGCTTTTTTAAGCAACTTGATACAGCCTAATGGATAAAGGATATATGGTATACAGTAAATATGCCTTTAGAAGGCTAATGGGGTCTGCAGCTTTTCTATTTAATTGAACAAGTCTTGTGCACAAGGATGTGAAAGTTCAACATTGTGATTTAATTAAGTGTACTGGGTTACTTTAAATTTTATTCCTCCAAAATTTGACCAAGTCAGATTAAAAAGTAATAAGCACCTCGTTAAACTTTGATTGTACATTGCTTTTTGATAATTAAATGGATTAGAGGGGATTTATCTGCTTATATGTCCTAAAGATATTCTTTAAATGTTGTACTTCAAGGTATTTGTCAGGTTTTCTTCCTTAAACTGCTTAACTGTGGAAGTCATAGGACTTTTGTATTGTAGTATATACTCAGTTTTAGTGACTATTTTTAATTTGTTTATTATTATTTCATGTTTTGTACAGGTGATCCTTATGCTGACCAAACTGTATGACTTCAACCTTGGAAGTGTGACAGAGAGTTCCTTATGGAGGTAAGAAACTATTTTCTTCAGTCAGTTTTGATCTTTATGTATATTTATGTATATATCATATACATATTACATAATATACGTTTGCGACCGTTTGTTCTCCAGCGTTTAGATAAAAGATGTGACTGTTTTGATTTGATGCAGCGTCCCTGTAGTAAATCCACACACATCGGACAGAAAGTGATGTAAAGTGGGTGTTTAAAAAGTTTTCAAAATCTGTCTGCAATTGCGTTTGCATGGAAGTAGAGACACAGCCAGGGCTGTGGCTTTTAAATCAAGTCTGTAATAACAGGCTGATAGCTACATTAGCTGATTAATGGTGTGACAATTGTTGATTGTCTTCATACATTTTTTAGAGATTCAGCACACAGCAGCTCAACGAGTTGATGTAATGCATAAGTGCATTAGATCTGCATGAATGGTGCTGATATCACATACTATATAGGAAATGCTTAAAAACAAGGGTTTAGAAACAATTCAAATGGTTTAGTTTAGTTAATTACAAAACTCTAATATTTTATTTTATTTTATTTTATTTTATTTTATTTTATTTTATTTTATTTTATTTTATTTTATTTTATTTTATTTTATTTTATTTTATTTTATTTAGTTAAGTTTAGTTTAGTTTAGTTTAGTTTAGTTTAGTTTAGTTTAGTTTAGTTTAGCTTATTTCCAATACAGTAAAATTGCTGTATTTTGAAATGCTATAACAATTTTAAATATTTTATTATTGTGAATAAACAATATTAAAATTTTAATGTGTTATTGTAATCTGCAATAATATTTTACAATATTGTCCCATTATCTTGTTTTATTTTATTTATTTTTTTTTTATTTGTTGAAAAATACAGTAAGAGTTATATATTTTTTAAATATTACAATTTTAAATATTTAACTAATATATATATATATATATATATATATATATATAAACTGTTATTGTAAACTGCAATATTTCACAATATTGTCCCATTATTTTAGTTTATTTTATTCTGTTTGCTTACTAAGTCTGTTTTTATTGGATGACCAATACAGTGAAATGCTATATTTTTAAATATTATTACAGTTAAAAATATAAAATAAAATAAAATAATATAAATAAAAAATGTTTAAATTTAAGTCTGTTATTGGAAACTGCAATAATATTTCACAATATTTCCTATTTTATTTTATTTTATAAAATGAATGAATATTTATTTATTTATTTATTTATTTATTTATTTATTAAAAAAAATGAACAATATTCACATTTAAATGTGTCATTTTAAACTGCAATAATATGTTTACAATATTACCACAAAACTTTTCTTTTCTTTTCTTTTTATGTGTTCATCAAGTATGTTTTTAATAAATGAAAAATACAATTAAAGCTTTATTTTAAAATATTAATAATATTTTAAAATACTGTTTTAAACGATTTATATGCTCATCAAGTCTGTTTTTATTAAATGACCAGTACAGTAAAAATTATTTTTGAAATAATATTAACATATTAAATGTTTGTTATTTTTCATTTATTTATTTATTTATTTATTTATTTATTTATTTATTTGTTTATTTATTTATTTATTTATTTATTATTATTATTATTATTATTATTATTATTATTATTATTAATTTATTTGCTATTATTTTTTAATATGCTTTTATATGTTTTCATTTAATGACCAATACAGTAATAAAAGCTTTTTTTTTAAATTATTTTTACAATTTAAAAATTTGTGTTAGATAAATAAACAATATTTAAATTGAAATTATTTTAAACTGCATTTTTATTTTATTTTACTTTATTTTATTTTAAGTCTGTTTTTATTTAATGACTACCACAGTAAAATGCTATTTGCAATATATAATAAATTAGTAATAAATATTATTACCATTTTAAATGTATAATTTTTTTTAAATGAATAAACATTATTCAAGTTGAATTATTATTTTAAACAAAAATATTTTACAATGTTCCCCTTTGTTTGGTTTATTTTATTTTATTTTATTTTTTATATAGTTTATGCTCAACTAGTATGTTTTTTATTTGATGATCACAACAGTAATAAACATTCTATTTTGAAATATTTTAACTGTAAAATGGAAATGTATTATTTTAAACTGCAAATAATGTTTCAGCATATCCCCCCTTAATATTGTCTAGCAAAAGAGGCTTCTTCAATATTTTTTTCCACTCTGTACTTCACCCAAAAAATTACAATTCAGTGGAACCCACAATCCCGTCAGTCCAAGTGCCATATTAATAAATCACAATGACTCCATTTTCAAATTCCATTTTTGACAAAACCATTTTCCTTAACTGCCACCAATCTGCGAGTCCTCTGTCATCCAACAAATGTTAAATCTGGCCTGGGATCAGCGGATCTGGCAAAGTCCAGCAGCAGCAGATTGAGGTTGAGATGCTCAGCAGACTGAAAGAAATGGAGCTTCCACCGGAAGCACAGTGTCCAAACAGCCTGCCTTTATACAACAGCAGAACACATGAAATATAAGAGATGTTATGCAATGTTCAGCAACTTACAGACAGTTATAGGTTCCACAGATTGTTACATATGTTTTAATGATGCTAACATTCAGCACAAATCTGTACATTTCTCCTTTCTGGCTGTTTTTCTATGGAGAAATTCGATAGATGCTCAGCCAAGGCGTGTCTCCTGATTGGTTAGTAACACTATGTCTTATTGCACAACAATTATACAAACTTATTTGCTTAAATAAAAAGAAAACATATGGTTTGTCGATAGTAATATTTTTTAATAATATAGTGTGATGTCACCAGTGTTGCCAAGTCTGTGGTTTTCCTGCAGATTTGGGCTACTTTTGATGTGTGTCCGTTGTTTTTTTTAGTATTCCATGGGTTAAAACTACCTAATGATTCATTCATTCATTTTCTTGTCAGCTTAGTCCCTTAATTTTTCCGGGGTCGCCACAGCGGAATGAACCGCCAACTTATCCAGCACGTTTTTACACAGCGGATGCCCTTTCGGCCGCAACCCATCTCTGGGAAACATCCACACATCCACAAATCACCTGTACTGCAAGTCTTTGGACAAACCGAAGTACCTGGGGGAAACCCACGCGAACGCAGAGAGAACATGCAAACTCCACACAGAAATGCCAACTGACCCAGGCGAGGCTTGAACCAGTGACCCAGCGACCTTCTTGCTGTTAGGCGACAGCACTATCTACTGCGCCACTGCGTCGCCCTCCCTAATGATGTCAAATATTTTCTTTTCTTTTTTGGGAATGGCATATTTTATGTTTAGGGCCTGGGCTTGTATTCGGGTTTACATTGAATGGACATTGGGCAAGTTTTGATTGGCCGTTGGGCTACTTAGATTGTGAAAACCTGGCAACCCTCAATGTAACATGCAAACTATCACTGTTTAACTGTTGACCCAGCAGTCCAGTAATGAAGTTAGTGACCCTGCATATAATCTGCTGCTAACCAGAGACTTATTAATCAAATGCCCGAATCTGCTTTTCTTACCAACTCAATTATTTTACATCATCTGCAAATCATAATTGGATTTTGAGATGATATCTCTCTTTGGTGTGTGTGTATGTGTGTGTGTGTGTGTGTGTGTGTGTGTGTGTGTGTGTGTGTGTGTGTGTGTGTGTGTGTGTGTGTGTGTGTGTGTGTGTGTGTGTGTGTGTGTGTGTGTGTGTGTGTGTGTGTGTGTGTGTGTGTGTGTGTATGCGTATGCGTATGTGATCTTCAGTGATGACTGGCTTGTGTGTAAATGACGTGGAGCAAATGTTTTTGTGACATATAATGGCGCAAATTTGTATGATGACATGAGTGTGACTAGAGAAGGTGACTTATGAGGACATCCCACTTGTCCATATATTTTTGAAAAGGTTTATAAATCATACAGAATGAGTTTGCAGATACAGATTTACGGTATAAAAACACAAATGGCAAGTTAAATTAAAGTTGCAGTTATGTTACAACCATTACTGTCGTATAATGTCCCCACAAATCATATAATATAATATAATATAATATAATATAATATAATATAATATAATATAATATAATATAATATAATATACGAATTATAATATATTATATTATATTATATTATATTATATTATATTATATTATATTATATTATATTATATTATATTAATTTATATTATATTATATTAT